GGAAAATGACAGCTGAAAAAAAAATCTTTGATTAGCCCCCACGAAAAGAGAATTCTAACTTCAAATTTTGTTTTACGGTTGGGGTGGGGTTATGGGTGGGGGATTAAGGTTCATTAGTGGGGGACCAGTCGTTCAATGAATATTTTTAGTCTAAATCAAAAGTAAAAAAATTATTTTCAGAAAAAAAACTTTTATTAAAATCTGTTTGGAGGGGAGGTCCGCTGCACCCAACCCTCCTCCCCCCCAATCACCCCCACCCTAAATTATATATTCCATAATGATATGTTTAACTGAGTGAAAGTCGGTAGCAAGTGAAGATGCTTTCCAAATCTATTTGTCTCAATTTGGAATATCCCGATCTAATTTTAGACCAATGTAGAGAAAATAAATCCTTATATTCATCGGAAGGTCACGTGCAGGTGAATATAACGTAGTATTTTTTCTACATTGTTGGATTTCAGCCAATCAGAGAGATAGGAATTATTCAATCATACAATAATTAAAGTGAATATTGGCATTAGTTGGCAGTACAATGCGAGTGCATTTGTACAGCCGCCGAGTGCCAATATTCACCAATATAAGGTCAATAACTCCTTTATTATATAGCTTAAACATCTCCTATTGATTTATTTCATTATTTCAATTAACTATCTCAAATTATTAAGAATTTTTCAGTATCGGTATTTAAATTTACGTCTGTCCTGTACGTGTACAATATCGCATCATTCCAATGAACCTACCAAGCGTTATGATTTGCTTATTGAGCTTTCATTGAGGCTAATATGTACTGAATTATTAATTAATAATTTCAACTTTATGTGAAAATAAACACATCTTACCTAGCTGCCACTACCTATCAAAAATTTGCCTTTGAGAGGTTGACAAGACGACATTTTTGTTTACAGCGGGGCGTTCGATATTGAATGCTAGTATTTGGAATGTTTTGGCATACGTAATACAAACTCAGCTTTCAATAAAATGTCAAGATACTGAAACTTAAGTTCTCTAGACTTTAAGTTTTTCTTAGACTATATATATATATATATATATATATATATATATATATATATATATATATATATATATATATATATATATATATACGAGATATATATCGACTTTCCAGAAAAGCTATATTTGTACATGTATACTATTATATTTGTGAATTATTTTGTTTTTATTTAAAATTTGAAGAACAACAGGGTTAATTTAAAAATCTGAAAAAACAGCAGGATTAATTTAAAAATCTGAAAAAAAAAACAGGATTAATTTTAAAAAATCTAAATAACAGCAGGGCTTAGGTAAATCAAGTGGGTATTCGGTCCCATAGACCTCTAGTTTAAATATTGACTTTGTCTATAAATATACATATTAAGATGTAGTGATTTTCATATTCAGTATTTTATAGAGAAATGCAAAATTCTATAACACGCTGAAAACTACTCTGCAGTTAAAAGTCTTACAGAGTCATAGTATCTTTTTAAAATAAATGACAGCTAAATTAAAAAACAAATTTGTAAAAGAAGATGGGTGAACAAGGCATGCAGAATGGCTATAGCTTCAGATATTTAAAAAAAAAATCATATTCAATTTGTGATTTAAGTATTTAAGGTAAGTTCTCTTTATTGAAATTTATGAAATTATGATGAACAAAACTTTTCTGAGAAAAAAAAGATCTCGGAAAAAATTATTCTTTTATTAAAAAAATAAAATGGTATTCGTAGGATTCGAACCCTAGCAATAAAAATCCGGAGTATCATATTGCTTTTAGACTAACACGTTAACCACTACGCTACACAGCTCCTGATGAATAGTGGCATTTAAAGTATGTTCAAATTATGTTTGTGATATGACCCTTGACTTAATTGACTTTCTCGGAAAGATGCGAATACTTTGTCATAAAAGTGTACTTTTAAGGTATAAAATGTATATTTTTATGGAAACTTTCAGGATTACCTTTAAAAAGAAATGGAGCGAAGACCCACTCATATCGAAAAATTTTGTGAAAGTATGAAAAGTATGAGAAAATGCATTAGCCTTTTTTTCCTCTTTAGTGTGTGTATGCTTTTTCATAGCAAATGATTTCAGTCTTTGTGAGATTTTTGTAAATTAGAGAGATTTTACATAAAGTATACTTAATGTTAGATGAAAAATCAAAGAAAAGTTTGATATAATTAAGATTCTAATTTTCACTTCATGTGTGTCGCACTATAGGCCCTTCGCCCGCCTTGTTCACCCATCTTCTTTAAAAAAGAAAGTTAGGAAAGTTATCGTGGAAATAGATAGGTTGATCTGTTACGAAATCTTTGCATTCATTTGATGTATCGGCTTCCTGTGGGATAGGAAAGGGAATAATTTTCCCGATATTCTGTTTTGATTTGCTAAAAAATTGGCTAGTTGAGTCATTTGATACAAATGTTCCATTTTTACACGTCTTTCTACAAATTTGCTATCTCTGGGTCATCTCTTCATGACTTTGAAACGTTAAACATTACAATTTACCTAGGTATTTAAAACTAAATGGAACATTTTCTCATGTGCGTAACGTTGTAAATCTGTTCAGCTGTGGTCAGCCGACCAAATCGTGGATATTTAAACTATACTGAGAAGCAAAAGAAACGCAACAAGCAGTAAATTACAAATATCTGAATTTGTTTATCTAATGAATCTCAAAAATAAAAATAGTAAGGTGTTACTTAATTTAAAAATATCAGAGATTTGATAAAAAAGTTGAATGTTATCTTTTTACTTTAGAAAGTAAGACATAAAAGTAATTTCTGTTTACCCCCCCTCTCTCTCTCTCTCGCCGACCATTCAATTATACAGCATGCAAGTCCTTTGCAGCTCGATTTTTACGATGCATTAGGTTTATCAATCTCTTGACCTGAGCGAAAGAAATATTCTATGGCATTTTTAAGATGCTGAGGTCGAATTTTCTCGAACCTAGCGCTGTGTGTAGCAACCCTTGGACTTCCGGTCCACGGACTGTCATTCATGCTAATGATACGTATGAGTCTGAAAAGGCGTGATGTGCATATTTGCATCTGCAATTCTCCTTCACCTTTATTTCGAGTATTTCCAACTAGAGCAATTGAAATGCGCACTTAAGTCATTTTGAGGAAGCCATGGCATCTCGTAAGGAAAAGAAAGAGTTTTTTTCCGGAATGTTGGTGCAATACTTATGATGAACAGATACAAAAAATAATTCAACCGTTAATTTACCTATTTCGCAAAGTTGAAGATGTCCTTACTTTTTAAGTACAAAGTTATACCCTATATATAATACCCCCCCCCCCCCCCCTAAAATAGGATGTTGCGTTTAAGTATATAAATATTTCTATACATGACCACACGCCAAATATGCCAATCTTCTATTAGAGATTGTATAGTATTATTTGGGATAGTTATTTTAGTGAGCGATTGGTAGTTTGTGGCTCTAGCTCTTCTATATAAGATCATCGCAAACGTATTGAATGCACCATTTTTAGAAAATACATAGGCCTGTGGCAGCTCCAAAAAATTGCAAAGTTATATATAACAGAATCACCCCCTACCGGCACGAAATGATAATCTTTTTTTCTCTTTTTTAATTTTTTAGAAGATGCAATGTTACTACTCTTAAATTTTATTGAATTTTGATACCAATATTTTCACCCTATAAACTGTACAATATGATGTTGATTTTCATATACTTATCAAGTTCAGAAAGTGACAGTAAATTGTGACATGACCCGGCGAGTTTTCCTTTGAAGTCAGCCGTACAATAACTGCGATACAGAACACTTTTAGTGGGCGTTTCTTATGCAAATGAGCAGAAACTGTACTGTATCTGAAAAATATCAACGATACAGTACGGTTTATTTTTAGCGATGACGGAACAGAATCCGTATCTTAAATAATATAGATATAAGAATCAATCAAATCGCAAGATAGCGCTGTTAGTATTTATTCAAAATCTGAAATGAATTTAGAATCGAATTTTACAACGTAAAGTTACCAGTGGCTGATTCGAAAATTTTAGAAAGGAGGGAGTGGGGGCAGTACACAAATGGTTTTCCTTCGAAAAAAAATGTCCAAACTAGAAAATCGGGAGTTTCGTGGTTGGTAGATTCATAAGCAGGCCAGACACTATATGTGCGTGATCGTTTCGTTTTGATAAATTAAAAGTATATACAAATTTAGCAAACATAATTTTCGAAAGCCAAAAAAAAAAAGAAAAAAGAAAAAAAATAGAATGGGGGGGGGGGTACCGACGCGCGCGAGTGAGTGCTGGATCTGCCTTTGTTTCTCTACATTTTGTTTCAAACATGAAGGTAATATGCCCCCTTTCTTACATCTGTTTATTTTAATTCGGAGCCAAGAATTTTGTATACACATGTATGATGACCGGTCGATGACATTGTCGGACATTTCTCTCAGAATACAACCTCCCCGAAACATTTTTGCTTCAAATACAATTTCCCATATATGATTCTTATGTATCAAAATGTTTTGCGCCAAATTCGTAGCTTAGGTTTAAAAAAAATTCAGCAAGAGCTAAATAGAAATGAAAAAAACCTACGCAATCAAAATAAATTAAATTTTGGGAAAACACATTATATAATGCATCTCATAATTATAATTAATTAAATTGATTGATACCTGCAAGTCCACCTCAATCGGCATTTCAGTTGCGACTGATAAAAATGGGGTACTTAATCATCTTTCTGCAAAATCATCTGATTGGTTGAGAGATATATACCCAATACACATGTAAATTAGCGAGGTCATAAGAAAGGTCATGTCACAAGTCATTTAGAATACTCGTTTCCTACTGTATCGGAGATACAGGGCGGGACCCGGCTCGAGCTATCGCTCTCGCCTTAAGCCCCGCCCTGTATCTCCGATACAGTAAGAAACTCGTACTCTAAATATAACTTAAGATACATTTTGTAAATATAAATCTAGTACCTGTCTACACTTCTATACAGAGGTTTTAAAAATGTTTGCCTTTTTTTCAGAAAACCTATATTAAAGACGTAGATATACCGGTTTCCAAGCAAAAGCTTATAGAAGATCTGGATAAATGGGATACCTTCTTTAGATCTGCTCCTACAATAAGTCAGCAGATTACGCCAGAGGAAAACTCCCATTTACAGAGTGCAATAAATTACTTTGGCTTAGAATTAGGAGATTACATTATAAAAAATAGAATTGATCCCAAATACATAATTAAATTCATTAACGATCATGATATTGTTCACCATCCCAAAATTCTCAGCTATATCAAGAGGCCTGCTCACAGAAGGAAACGACAGACAGCAGGTAAGAAAACTAGCTGAAGACCTTTTATTCTTTTAAAAAATGAAATTTACAAATATTTATTGCTGTTGAACCAAATGCCGTTAAAAAGTTTAGAAATGTAATATGTAAGGATTTTGAAACTCGATTTTTGCAACATAACAAACTGTTTCTCATGAAAAATGAAACAATGAAGAATGTCTTAGCGGTATAATATAATTCTGCTAACAATTCTACACGTTTGTTAGGCATTTCTTTTCAATATTTTGAAGGCGTTCCTTCAACAGAAGAGGTACTTATATTTAAACGAAGTTCGGGGGGGGGGGGTGGTTCAGTATGTCCCTCTGTCTCATAGCTGCTTCTTTGACCGTAGGCATTTTTTGTTTGTAGATGATTTTTTAAAAATATTAAATATATTTTTGCAAAGTGTAATATATACCATTTAAACTTGTGCACCTGGGTTTTTTTTTAGACTGAATTGTCAAGACTTTAAAATGGTGTGAATTTTTAAAATTTTATATTATATATAATTTTTGACGGGAATAGAAAAAAAATTCTTATATGGACATAACTTTGTAAGAATGAAACTTTAGAGACTTACCTAATACAAAGGTAGTTTATGTTAAGAGGTGAGCATTGACGTTGTACCTAGGTCATTTGACAAAGTCCCAGGGTACAAAAGTATAAAATTATTGTTTAAACTACCATTTTAAAGTCGCCCTAGTGGAGCATTGGTTAGAACATTTGCTCTACAGTCGCGGAGTAAAGAGTTGAATCTTACTTCGCGGGTCGAATCCCACTGTGGGACGTGGGGACCAGTCCTTCGGATGGGACCGTAGAAACCGAGTTCACGAGTTCGCAGTAGGTGCTGGCACGAAAAAGATCCCTCACTACTCAAAGGCCCTAAGTGCTGAGTACAGGTCTAAATTTGCAGCCCTCCGCCGGCAAGTGGTGGCGTCTCCATATGAGTGAAAATTTCTTAAAGGGACGTTAAACAAACAAACAAACAATTTGAAAATGGAAAAAAACAGGGGATGCTATTACCTGTGATAAAGGTTGTTTGAAACTCAAGAGTCATGTCTTGTTCATAACCCAGGGAAATTTGGACAAGGTCAAAGTCAAAGGTTCTAAAAATATAAAATTCTTGCGTCAGCCATATTTTTGATACGGTGAAACATTAGATTATACTAAGCACAAAGGTTGCTTAAGACCAGAAGGTGTGCAACAACCCTGCATCACGGTCAAAGTCAAGGGCACTGGGTTTGAAATGTAAAAGTCCTTTGCATAACATAATTTTATAATTTAAAAACTTCCGAAGATTATATATGTCTGCAGAGTTGATTATGATCATAGGTTACATGTATGACATGACTCTGATCAAAGGTTCAGTTCACAGAGTTCAGGGAAGAAATCAAACAAATTCTCGAATTATCGCCTTTCGATTCATCGCCATTCTCGCAATACCGCCATGATTTTTCAAGTAAGTTTTTCCTGCTATATAAAACTCTTTATAACGCCAAATTCTCATACCGCCATCCGCAACCCTGTTTTTACAACAAACGTCCATTTAAGGAGGATCTCTACACCTATGAAGTATAAATGATTTTTGTTTCATGCATTTATTTCGAATAATAGACTCAATATCCAATAAAATAAAGCTCCCTAGTATTGAACTTTATTTTTTTGGAAATATTTAAAATATTCAATTTATTTTGTAGAAACCCCTTGATTCTTTTTTTTTTAAAGCCTTATGCTTTAATTTTCTATTCAAAGTTTAATTTTATAAAATCTCGAAATGAAAACCAACAAAGTTATAAATGAAATCTACATAATTTTTATTTGAGTTTACAAAAATAGACAAAAGAAAAACTAAAACAGCATTTTCATGAGAAGAACTGGTCGGATTTCCTGCAAAATCTGAAAATAAATATAATATTAAAGGGTTCAAAGGATGAAAATAAGAAATTGAATGAAATTGAAAAATTGACGAAAATTTTAACCATCACAAAAATTTAGGTGCCTAAGATCCGTTTAGAGAGTGGGCTCAATTATCTTGGGCTCAAATATATTTAATCTAATTCTTCTAAAACTTGCACAGGTATTCAAAAAAGGAATTAATAGGTACATGCCAAACTAGGACATCGAAAGAAGTTCGTATTGTATTGTTTTTGAATGAATTTAAGCGAAGACCCACACGTTTCTAGTCAAAACATGTAAAGGGAATTCATAGTATTGAGAAAGGTAGATTTACTTACCGTTTTCATCCAACTTCTATGTACATGTTTCACACACACTTTTGTATCGTGTGAATGTCTGGGGAATTAGCTTGTAGTACGCCACTCGGCTTTCTACTGGGTGCTATATCTGATGGAAAAGAGAAACAAATTCCTATAAATTAAATGTACTTCTTTATTCTTTAAGCATCGAATGGAAAGTGAAAAAAACACAAGTTAACAAATTTCGATACACCCTGTAGTAAACTCGATGAGAGAAGGTATGATTGTTTCATGCTTATAAACTAAAGATGAATAACTCCGAAGAAATCAAATTATGCATAACGCTTATAAAATGTATAAAATTCAGAAATCAAACTGTTACCTATTGTCATTCAATAATAAAGAAGAAAACATCTTGAAAATGTTTCTGACACTTTAGCCGACGAATTTCTATCGCTTAACAAATTTACCTTCCTACATTGAAGAGTTCACTACAGGTTTAACAATATCAGCGCGGGAAGTTCAAATTTATAAAAAGAGATTTCAAAGAATCAAATTAAGAAACTTTGCACAAAAATTTCAATTAATTAATCACAATTTTAACAAACAATACAAAACACATTAAGTAAAAATAAATCAGTATCAAACAAGTATGCAAACAAGTTAAAGGTAAGAAAGTCATACAATTCTAAAATTATGAATAAAGTGACAAACTCAAAGTTCACCAAAAAGTTAAAAATAATAGAATGTTTGCCCATTCAGAATATAAAACATAAAATCTATTGAATTCATCAAAAGAGCATAAAAACAATATTTGAATGAAAATTTACTGAAAATACCAAAATAAATTTATTCAAGCTTACCTGATGGAAAAGAGAAACAAATTCCTATAAATTAAATGTACTTCTTTATTCTTTAAGCATCGAATGGAAAGTGAATTTCATGAATTCGCTTTCCACCCGGCTTAATTCGGAATTGCTCTCAATGACCAATCAGGAAGCTTGATTTCGATGTCCTTAAGCTAATTTTTTTGCAGAATTTCTTAGATGAGTTGACACTAATTACTTATGTTAACAAAACAGCGAAAAGTGTTAAAGTCAATTAGCTAGTTTCCGAGAAAAGAGTTATTAACAAAGAAAGGATTAAGCTGACCGATGGTGAAAGTAAATAATTTTATCTATAAAAAGTTCCGATGTGTCAACTCAATCTTCGAAAGAATTTATTTCAAAAGAGGCCGAAATTGGAAAGAATTTTCTTATTTACCTAAAGGTTAAAACAGCTGTTAGATGTCCAGTGACATGGCAATTGAGTACAAAACATGCCAAAATCAAAAGAATTGCCGATGTAAATGAAACTGAATTTGCTAAATAACACATATATTTCTATGTAAATTTATACTCAAATTTAAGAGAGTGATCATTCAAAACATATTAAATTGATTATTTGAAATTGAATTAATTTGAACACTTAAAATAAAATGTAATTAAATTTGCATATTTAAAATGAAGTGAAATATGATTTAAAACAAAAGTAAAAATTTCATTAAATTTCATAAGTGAAATTTCATGCGATATAACCTGTTACATTAAAAGTTTAGACTTTATCAAGTTAAACTTATCAAACATATTAAATTGATTATTTGAAATTGAATTAATTTGAACACTTAAAATAAAATGTAATTAAATTTGCATATTTAAAATCAAGTGAAATATGATTTAAAACAAAAGTAAAAATTTCATTAAATTTCATAAGTGAAATTTCATGCGATATAACCTGTTACATTAAAAGTTTAGACTTTATCAAGTTAAACTTATCTATAACAGTCTCCCCCCTTGCCCACAAAAGCTTTGTCCTCAAAGCAAATAAAAAATTTGTTCATCATGTTGTTTTTGATTATTATACATTTCTTTTTTTTTTCTTTTTTTTTGTTTTATATAACCTATATATACACTAGATTTATTCACAAGAAAACATACAAAGGCTCACTACATATTCAAACAAATACATGTGCAAGAAATCATTAAAAACAAACATTTATGCATAGACATCAAATTCAAGACAATACAAATGATAAAAACATTTGTAAGATGCATGTTTTCTTGTAAAAAGAATACAATGAAGGCAAGGATATTTTCAAATTAAAAATGACAAACAAATTGAGTATTTACAGATATGTACAGCTGCAGCAAGAAGAGAAATAACAATAATCTCATAGATTATTTTCTGGCAAAATACAAAAGGTGTTATTTTATTCTATAATATTTCATTCATATTATTTCTTTACAACTCCACAAAACACATTTTATGCACAACAAAAATCTTGACAGTTCCAAGTGAATGTGCAGAAAGAAAAAAAAAATGTTATGATCTTGTACGTGGAAAACAAATCAAATTATGGCAAATGTTCTTTAGGATTCAGTGTATCAACAATATATGTACCATGATGTGGCAAGGATTGATAAACATTATGATGTGATACCAAAATGTGAACATCATATGGTTGTTCAGTAATACGCTTTGCTTTGAGAGCAGAGAAAAAATCTAAGGATACTTTTGATTTTACATTGATAGTCCGGGTACCAGAAATGTTTGTGATATTAAAACCAATCCAATCAAATTTCATAGTAGAAGCAAATGGTACTGTAGTAACATCAATGTGAAAAATGTCTGTAGGTGGTACAATTTTCCAAAATGATGGACATAGTGGCAGATTTAGAACAGGTATAAAAATACACTCACCACCAGTTGTTAATTCAATGACAATTTGTGTAAATCTGTTTTTTCTTTGCAAATAAAAATTATACAAGA